ATTTAAACTATTCATATCTCATTTAGCTTTTTATTTATATTAGTTTGTATAATTATCATCTGCCAAGAACATTTCTAAATTATGCAGGTTTTTATAAACAGATCCGAACAGTATAGAGTGTAAAATACATCTATTTTTAATATCTGTTTAGGCATTATGTATTGTATTATATTCTTTAAAGAAGTATTTTACACTCTACTATATATATCTAAAAATTTTATAAATTTTTTGTTTGTTTAAATTGTAGTGTCTCATATTAGTATAGTTATACTTTATTTAGTAGTATATCTGATATTTATTTATCTGAATTCAAAACTATAACTAGTTTCTTAATAAAGCTAATATTTACTTGTTTTTAGTTTAGTGTAACAATGTTGCATAGTTACTTATGTATATTTATAATATAGCTAAAATTTATTTATATCTCAATATATAGTAAAATTTAAAATTCAATTTTTGTCACATGATCAAACCATATTTCATATATAATTACAACCTCTATATAATCACAAATTTGCTGTGTCCAAAAATGTGATTATAAAGAGGAAAAACTGTATTTTGTATCACATCATGTATAAATAATATTTTAAAATTTGATATTATTTGTCATATCAGGTCTTTTATCAAGTAATTTATAGTAATATCGAGGAGAAAACTAAACCTGTTCTAGAGATATATATAGTTTATCCTGTCTCTGGGAGGTATAGATAATTTATCCTAGACCCCCTAATTTTTTGTTTATTTGTAATTTTTTAATAATCAAAATTTTGTTTTTTTGCTATGTTTTTTGTATATTTCTTTGCTGTTTTTTTGTTGTTTTGTTTTTTTGCTATCTCTTAGTAGTGTTTTCTCTAGTAAGTTTGATGTTTTTTAGTTTTTTTTTGTTTCTTAATACAAGTTTTTTACATTCTTTTAATAGTTTTTTTGACATTTCTTTGAAACTTTTTCTGACAGTTTCTTTGACATTTTTTGGTGTTTCTCTACTGGTATTTTTTGGTAACTCTTTATATTTCTTTGAGACTTCTTCCTAGTATTTCTTTAGAGGTTTTTTAAATATTTTCACTTGTTGGTACATTTATTCATTGTTTTCATTGGTCTATCTTTTTGCCATTTTTTTGAAATGTTTTCTAATAAGTTAAAAGTTTTTTATATTTTTCTTTTTTTTTTTGTTCTTGATATAAGTTTTTTATATTTCTTTAATAATTTTCTTTTGGTTCTTTCTTTGGCAGTTTCTTTGATATATTGGCAGTTAGATTTTTTTTTAGCAGTTTTTTATACTTTTTTTAATTATTTTTTAGTTTTATAAACATCATCATTTGTTGCTATCATTATATATGTATTTGTTTGTAGTTTTATAAAGTATTTTTTTGGCAGTTTTTATGCTTTTTTTGGTTATTTTTTAAGTTTTATAAACATTATTATTTGTTGCTATCATTATATATTTGCTTGTAGTTTTATAAAGTATTTTCTTGCTGATTTTTTATAATAAGCAATAAAGTTTATCTAGCATAGTTAGAGTTGGGTTAGTATTAGTTAAGGGTAAGGTCTTTTTTATATCAGGTCTCTGTAATTTAGGGCTTATTTTAGCCAAAATAAGAAATAATCTGCAATATTATCCAATTAAAAAATGAGATCCCATTAATTTAGAGCTTATTTTTGTGCATAAAGATTCTACTCTTAATTACTTTATTATATTCAGTGTATAATGATGTTTAATTAATAAAATTTTATAAGTTTAACTCTATTAAATGCAAGTCACAGTAAAACTTCTAAACTTTGAATAATAACATACTGTATATCTAATAATAATTTAACTAAATGATTTTTTTTTGTTTAATTTTATTAATTCAATAAAATTTTTTTTATTTTATATATTTATAAATTCGAATAAAAAATATACTATATCTTTGCTCACATTTAAAAAAACAGGGGTAGTTTCAAGAAGAGTGAACCTAGTGATATCTTCATGATAACCACATTACAGGATTAAACACTTAGCCTAAGTAGAGTTAGTGTTAGGGTTAGGTGATAGAATTTTTTAGGCCAAATTTGTTAGTGCTAGTAAACAAATGACATCATTCCATGATTTCATATAATATGATGATCACTGGGTTTATTCTTCTTTAAGTGTCCCAAAAACAGTAACCTTTTTTAACCAATTATTTTTAGACAACATAGGATAAGCTTCTGTATTCCTGGTATAGGATAAAGTGCCTATACTTCAGGTACAGGATAAGGATGCTCAATATCGATTTACTGCAGTGATTTTCATACATTACAAATCTGGAAAAATGCCAATACATGATTTGCTAAAAAATTATTTTTAACCAATTACAAGATTTCTGATTTCCCGTGTGATATATGAAAATCACTAATCACAGTAATTTGAAAAGTGCAGTAATCACGTGCAAACTACATAGAAAAAATTATTAATAAGTTTTTTTTCAGTGATTTTCTGACTTACTATCAGATCTTCTGATTTCACAATTTCCTATTAATTATTATAAAAAAGTGATATTGCTCAAATTTTTATTTCTGAAGTATTTAATATTTTCAAACTCTGTAAACTGTTTATGTTTTATAAAACATAAAGCAACAATATTACATTTTACATAAGATATATAAAAAATTATAATGATTAGGATTTTATACTTAGCTTATGGAATATTATGACAAACCAGTTAATGATCTTCAGTAGATGATCCTCATATAAGTAACTATAAAATCCTAATTATTGTAATTTTTTATAAAATGTATGTTTTATAAAGCATAAGCAGTTTACAGAATTTGAAAATATCAAATACTTCAGGAGAAATAAAAATTTGAGCAATATCATTTTTTATAATAATTTAATAAAAAATAGAAAATCTAATTGTAAGTCAGAAAATCACTAGAAAAAAATTCATTAATGATTTTCACTATGTAGTTTGCACTATGTTTGTGATTAAACCGATATTAGATAACCCAACATTTCATTGCCTTTCGTGTAATTGATCATGTGCTTTTCAAATCTCTTCAGATCATAAGAATTGAAGATCTTGTAGATTTTAAGATTTTCACAGGTTGAATCATATGTACATGTTAGTCTGCCATAGATCTGCCAAATACCTGTTGAATATCAGCAGCATTAGAGACGGGTTTCATGTGTGTGCATTATTCTTTAATCGTGTGCATTAATATGCATTTTTGGAATCATGCACATTTTATCTCATTAAATTTTATATAGAAAAATTAAAGTATATATAATTTAGGCCAGGGAGCATATTGTCGGGCAGAATTAAGGAATATGGATACAAAGTCTCAAAAAATTCCGAAATGAAAATGAATGAACATAAAAGAGCAAGATTGGGGTAAAAATTTGAGCACGTATCTGATATTTTCAGAAGGGAAAATATAAATTACAAAAATTATATCATGCGATATCATGACATTTTATCAACATGCGCATTAATGCGCATGTTATTATAAAATGCGTATTTTCCCCATCACTAAGCAGCATATTGGCAGCATATTGGTAAGATATCGAGAGGTAGATCAATATCAGCAACATAACAGTAAATATTAGAATACCCGACATCTTACTTTTAGACCCAGAGTGCTAAGAGTAAGATACCAGGGTATCCTAATATTGTACTGTTATTAGAGATTGTACACGGGTAGATATTTTTATTATATAGCTATAATAAATTATCTGGATAACTGGGTAATTTAATAATACTCGAGTAGAGATTTTCTTGGCAGGCACAATCTCTAGTTGTTATGTTACCAATGTCGATCTACCTCCTGATATCTTACAAATGTGCTGCCACTATGCTCTATTGCAGACTAATAGATACATATCGGGTAAATTGTCTCCCGGTATGCACCAGATATTCATCAGGATGGTAAATGACCTTCAAATGAATTTCAAATGACCTTCAAATGATCTCAAATGACCTCAAATAACCCAATTTTATTATGAATTTTAGTTTGAAATGACTTAGGTCATTTGAAAAAGGCAAATGACCTCCAATTTTATCATTCCTAATATTCATTGATTCAACTTGTATTTATCTTCGGAACAATCTAGAAATTTCAAAATTCTTAATCATCATATAAATCATAGATCACATTTTGCAAATCGTTATAAATATTTTGCTAGTATAAGAATAAAAAAAAATTAAGCGACTAATAAATCCAGGTTTTTTTTAGTTTCCGCAAATAAGCAGAATTAAAAAAAATTCAGCTCTGGATAGAACCAATTACCCACATTTATCTTTAGATCTTAAATATTCCTTAATTCACCACGCACATTTGGCATATGATTATTTTTATATTGCCAATTTTACTAATTGTTGATGCATTGCCTCGTAAACCATCTAAACTATACACAATTATGCTAAAGAAAAAATTAATTTCTAAGTCAAATTTATTACATTATGTTTCAAGTCCATCTACTATATTAACTTAAAGCGAGCTGCTACTGAGCCTTTAAAAAATGAATTTCATCAAAATTATGCGTATTTTGGTAAAGTTACTCTCAGCAGACAAAAATTCAATGTAATGATTGATACTACTTTACAGAAACCTACAATAAATTAAAATATCATACCAATATATTGCTAATATATAAATGATATTTTTAATAATCTTAATACGAGCTCATTGCGTGAATCTTAAGGACCTTGCTACGATCTAATTATGATATACCATTTCTTTTATTATAAGTTTAATACAAGTTATTAATAAGATCGTAGCATTATAATTATTATATTCAATTTGTATTAATATTTAGAAAATATATTAACGAGATAATTGCAATATTGTAAATAAGTTGCTATAAGTATGCAATATAAAATTGGTGTGATTGTAATCTTATTATTACGAGATTTAAATAATAAAGCAAATTTAAGCAGTATATTATATAGATTATATAAATCTACATATTTGTATATAATGCGGTTTATAAAGATATTGTTCTAAAGTTATTTTTTATATTGTAATAATTTTTGAACTAGTAATCATGCAACAATATTATAGTTTGTTGGAATTGGAAGATCAAGAGTAAGCTCATCAAATTCTTTGATTGCTGCTTTCACATCTTTTTCTTCGTGAAGTGCAAGAACCTATTGTTTAACCATTTCAATAACAAAGGTTTTTAAGCCTTTTTTGATTACTTCATTGTTGTCAACAGCCATTTTGTTAACTCCCAATAATGGTAGATAAAGAGCTTTTCCCCAAATATTATTGTCAATAAAAGTAGATAAATTTTGATTTGAAATTTCATTCCTATTGTCACGGGCAGTATAAATCGTGACCACACAAAACGTGACTCAAACGACGATCGGGACCTAGATCGATGCATACAATGACGATGCCCCCGGATTTTGGCATTCACGATCAACCCAAAATTGGGTGAAACCCGCATATCTGGGCCCAATACAATCGCACGATTCATAGACGAGGCGCATCACCGAATCGAGAGATGATAATGAAGTTTCAAAATGGCGGATCTG